ACTTCTCTAGAGGAGAATATACATACACAAAAACATTGATAAATCTCTAGAAAACTTTACCCCTTACTCCGAAAGGAGAGCGCTACTACAACTTAAATGTAAAAACACTATACTCGATCTAATACAAATACTCGCACCCACAGCAGAAGAGAATGAGGTAGAAGAATTTTATGGAGAAATAACGGACATCACAAAAAGCCTTAACCTTAACAAACACCACATCAATATTATACTAGGCGACTTTAATGCAAAAATCAGCAAAGAAAAAGTAGCTGATATCACTGGATAATATGGATTAGAGACACGCAATGACAGTCGTCAGAGTGATCGTCTGATACAATTTTGCAAAGAATAAGATTATGTATTATCAATGTATTACACCTGGTTTAAACTACTTCCTGAGGAATCCATACATGGAAATCACCTCACGAGAATAATCAAAAGATTGTAATTAAATTGATTTTGCTTTGATTAATCATATATTTAAATTAATTATCCAGAGTGCAAAGACCTACCCAGATATGGGGGTAGGATCAGACAACTATCCAGTCATTATTTATTTATTTATTTTTACGATAGAACCATTTACAATGAAATACAACAAATAGTAAAAAGATCATGTACAATAAACATCAAAACAATAACAAAGAAACAATTAAACAGTAAAAATTTGTACATTAGAACAGTATATTAAATCACTGATATAAAAAAATAATAATTAGAGTCTTAAGTTGCCTTTTGAAAACATTAATGTTTGGACAGAATGGATCCAATAGGAGGTCATTGCAAGAGCTGATTTGCGATAAGGGAAAATGACGAGCATAATCAGTTCTATGAAAAGGAATATAAAAGGATGCAGTGTTTCGAGTCCTATATATTATGTTTAAGTACACATTGGCTAATAACAGGGGAAAATTAATAAAGTTGTTTAGAATTTTAAACAAAAATAGCATATCAGCTCTCAACCTGCAGTTCTTCAATGTAGCAATATTAAATTGAGACATTATTACAAAATAATCTATGAACTAATTTTCAGTATTTTTTGTATTAATGTGCTTTAAAAGCTAAAGATTTTAGAAACTTCAGCTGAACGCTCTCCAATCCATAAATGTAAACTTGATGAAATGGGGGCCAAACAACAAAGCAGTGTTCAAGACTTGAGCATACCAGAGAGCAATACAATAGGTGAGAGATCATGACTGTTACGATAAATAAAATGGCTTCTAAATGACAATGCACAATCCAATAATACACTCAAATCTCTAATCTCAGTAACTCTCAGTAACAGAATCCAAGAGTACATCATTAAGAACATATCTATTAGCTATTAGATTATTTATATGACCAAATAACATACAAGAACATTTAGTTGGATTTAAGCTTAAACCATTTGGTTTTGACCATAAATATATATTATTTGCATCCTCTTCCAAGAGATCTCTATCCGATTTATCATGTATACAATGAAATAACTTAAGTTCATCAGCAAATAGCAGGAAGTGTGAGTTTTTGATAGCTTTACTAATATTGAACAAGTTAAAAAACAAGGGACCAAAATCAGTCCTTTTAAACCAATTATCATTGGGGTCACCAAAGCCAGATGCATGAAGTTTGTGAACCAAAAGATTATGATTAACCTGGTCAAAGGCCTTTGAGAAATCAGTGTAAATGCTGTCAACCTGACTTTATTCTCAAATACACACAACAAGTATTGTTGGTAATTGTCAAAGTTTGTTACTGTTGGCTTCCAGTTAAAAAATCCATGTTGTTCATCAATAATTATGTTTCTGCAAACCCAGGTGAGATTTATCAATACCAATTTATCAAGAAGTTTTGGGATTGCTGATTGAATAGTTCAACCTCTAGAATTGTTAACACACTCACAATTGCCAGATTTATAGATAGGTGTAAGAAAACTATTTTTCCAATATTGAGGAAATATAGATGATGACAATGATAAATTGAAAATTTGTTGTAAAGGTTTACATAGGGAAAAATACAGTTCTTAATAAGTGCTGCAGATATACCACCAGGCCCTGAAGAATATGTAGTTTTTAAACTTATAATCCCCTTGAAAACATCAGTCACACTAAACTTCAGAATCTGGAAATCCACACTAAAGTCCAATTAAAAATAAGGTAAATTATACTCACTATCATTATAATATGTACCTGAAAAATAACTGGCAAATAGATTGACTATTTCTTCGCCATTCTGAGTTATTACATCCCAACCTTTATTAGACATTACATTACGATAAGCACTATAGACCCACGTGTAGCACGAATATATAGCATTTTTCATATAAAAATGCTTGCACATCATTCAAGATTTACGACGTCAGAACCCCACAGCCTTGCTAAAACATCAGAATAGTTAGTAAGTGAGGAATTTTTAAAATGTCAACTATTTGTCAAACTATTATATTAACAGTAAATACACTTAGTTTTAAGACTACTGCGATACACTAAAATACATAAGAAAACATTTTAATACAAAATTATATATTCTAAATTTTAAACTTACCTCTTTTAGCTCTTTAATAGTATAAACGTCCCGCCATTATTTCTTGTTCAAAATAATCTATCTTATATGAAAGCTTATCAGTTTTCTAATAGAATATCTTCTTACAGTGCCTTATCCTTAAGGACGTTGGCCATTACATTTGCCCATTTAATCTTATTTGTAGCAGCCCTGAATAGTTCTATGGAGGTCATGTTTATCCATTGTCATAGGTTTTTAAGCCAAGAGTTGCGTCTTCTTCCTGGTCCCCTTTTGCTATTGACTTTGCCTTCGATTATAAGTTGGAGCAGTTCCTACTTTTGATTTCTTATGATTTGACCAAAATATTGTGTTTTCCTTTTATTATAAGCATAAGCTCTCTCTCCTTATTCATCCTCCATGAGACTTCTGCATTTGTCGTATGGCTCATGTAGGATATTCTGAGCATTTTACGGTAACACCAGAGTTCGAATGGTTGGATTCTTTTTTGTGTTGCTTCTGTCATTGTCCAGGCTTCAACACCATAGAGCAAGGTGGAGAAAACATAGCACTTGAGTATTCTAGTTCTGAATGAGATGATCAGCTGGCGGTTGCATAGAAGTTTTGCATTTTGTAAAACATTGTATGTGCCTTTTTCAGGCGTATTCTTATCTCTAGTGAGTGGTCCCAAGTTTCATCAAGATTACTTACAAGGTACGTTGTTCTTGTTACTCTTTTCAGATCTGTTCCGTCGACATTGACCTTCACCCTTCTGTTTTGGTGCTTGCTGATGACCATCGTTTTTGTCTTCTTTGTATTCAATTTCATTCCAAATTCTCTACAGGCTGTCGTTACTCAGTCCATTAAGTGTTGAAGGGCTTCAGCATTATCTGCCAGTATGACAGTGTCATCAGCCTATCGCAGGTTATTTACACATTGCCCATTTATAATTATACCATCTGAGGTGCCTTCCAAAACTTTCTCAAATATCTTCTCAGAGTAAACATTAAACAGCAAAGGTGATAGGACACATCCCTATCTTACTCCCTTCTCGATATTGATTTTTCCAGATGTTTCGCTTTTTATTCTGATTTTAGCCTTTTGCTCTTGGGAGAGGTTTAAATGACCCTCAAGTCTTTATCGTCGATATTACATGACCTTGAAAATCCTTGAAATATCTATTAGTTTATCATGTTTCACCAGGTCAAACGCCTTCTGAAAGTCTATAAAACACAAGTATACATCAGAATCGACATCTTTACATCTTTCAACTAGCACATGTATTGAAAAAAGTGCTTCTCTTGTTCCGAACCCATTCTTAAAACCAAACTAAGTTTGACCAGAGTGTTCGTCTAGTTTATTGTATACTCTATTGTGTATTACTCGTAGGAAAAGCTTTAACATATGATTCATCAGGCTAATAATCCTATGGTCTTCACATTTCTTGGAGTTTCTCTTCTTTGGTAGTGGTATAAACACTGATGTAAGCCAATCATTTGGTATTATGCCTGTTTCGTATATTTTGTTAAATATATCTTCCATTACTTCGATGTGTTCGTCTAGTACTATCTTTGGGTCTACAGATCTTCTGGGTCTACAGACTATAGACCCAGATATTATCATATACTGACCCAGATGACCATGGAGGAAAGTACACTGCACCAATGACTAACTTTTTTGTGCTACACATTGGTATATGAAAGAATATATGAAAAAGCCACTTAATAATACTGAACTGCTAGATATTATTGAAAATGAAAATTTTGATAAATTTATCATAGATAATAGTATGGATACTAATACTGAACTAGATTACAAAGAGTCTGGCATTCAGTTGTCCCAACCTGCCTATCAAACTGATCCACAAATTTCTGGAAGTCTTCAAGATCAGGAGCAACAGCTATTGGATAATCATCAACACACTGTTAATGACAAATAAGTTAAATATGAAGAAAATGAAGTGTCATTTCTGACCATTTACCATAGATAATAGTATGGATACTGATACTGAATCAGATTACAAAGAGTCTTGACATTCAATTGTCCGAACCTGCCTATCAAACTGATCCACAAATTTCTGGATGTCTTCAAGATGAGGAGCAACAGCTATTGGATAATCATCAACACACTGTTAACAACAAAAAAGTTAAACATGAAGAAAATGAAGTGTCATTTCTGACCATAATAAAATATTTCCAATAAATTTATACTATATTTACCAATGGTACTTTTCAGTACTGTTAATCCTACTTTATTAAAATAGTTTTAAAGCTGTGTTTTAATATTTTTGTCAAAAAACAGTAACTATTTTAAACAGTGACAATATGTTTTTATAGAGTTATCTGACAGATTTTTAAAGTAGGTCAGATAAGTTGTTAAATAACTACTTGATTTGTAATTGTCTCTTATATGCCCTTAAATTATATTTAAGATCAAAATTATATTAGCAGGTAAAAAAGTTATTCCGATTTATATTTCTAAACTAATATGGGGAGACTTAAATATATTGTTACGGTATACTAACCTTTTTCAGTTTTTTGGTTTTCTTCAAATGGGTTAATTTCATGTTGTTCTATTTCAGTACATATGGAACATTTCTTGTCTAAATTTTCATATGTGTCATGTGTACTTTGTCTATTGGATTCTTCCTGAATTTCACATTTAAAGCCATCCAAAAGAATATCATCCAATTCATTATACTCTATTTTTACGTTAGATGTTTCCTCGCTAATTTCTTGTTTTACTTCCATTTGATTTTATTTATGTATCATAATATTCCCAATAATAACTTTACAGCCAAAACGCGAAATCACCATAAAAATTCTTTCTTTTGGCGAGGATGAGGAACCGCCTCTTTACTTATATATAATTTAATCCAGTGGGCACTTAATCTATGGAACCGCCAGACAATGTTAACAATTACAACATCGTTTCCATAATTGTGTGGTTCTCATATTGTACTTTTTAGTGATTGATGCTTTCAGAATACGAAAGCGAAACGTCTTCAAAATAGATAAAGTAGCCTATCAACTTTGTCTTTTATTTCTCCACCTTGAGACCGATATAAGAACCCACAACTCGTCTGAGTGATCCTTATATATATATATATATATATATATATATATATATATATATATATATATATATATATATATGTTCGGATAGATTTCCGCGGTCAGATGAATAACTCATCCTTAGTTACCAATCTTCCAGAATACTCTTTTACTGAATAATACGGTCTTTGAGATAGATAGGTTTTTGTCATTTTACGAAACTTAAGGATAGAATTTGTAAGTTGCAGAGGGGGATAATTGTATAATTTTTTTGCCGAATATAATATAGATTTCTTTACTAAGTCAGTGAACGGGATCGATAATTACACATCAAAGGTTGAATTTCTGGTGGACTAGTCATGATTGGGTCTTGTTAGAAAAACATGTAGGTATTTACCAATTAAGAAAATAGTTTCTAGAATATACGAAGAGGGAAGAGTAAAAATCCCGTGATATTTGAAGTAGCTTCTATAATGTGTTATTCTTCTGAGTCCAAGAAGATACCGTATTGCTCTTTTTTGTAATTTAAAAATAACATTAGATTGGGCAGCTGTACTAGAACCGCAAAAAGGAAGGCCATATCGAAGATGAGACTCGAACAAAGAAAAATATGTTATTGGAAGATGCTAAATTGATTTCCTCTAAAACAGATCTTATTGCATAGCAGGCTGAGACTAGTTTATTACTTGACAAATTGATATAAAGGAACCATTTAAGGTTGTTGTCTGTAAAAATACCATGAAATTTTACAGAATCAAGGTTGAAGAGCTCCTTTATAGGATAATGCTACTCTTATTCACGCTAAAAGATAGTAAAGCAGAGTCGGACCAGGTATTTATTTTAAGTTGATCAGAAGTTATAATTGCATGAAGAGTTGCAATATTAGAGTTCCTCTAGGTAATACTGGTATCATCAGCAGAAAGAAAAATTCATCGCTGCTAGACATGTCTTCAACGGTTTTATTTCTAAAACATATACTTAATTAGATAATCATAATCCTTGTTTTTATAAATTAAACTAAAAACTCACTTTTTATAAATATTACGTGGAACATATGAAAAAGTATTATCACCAAGTAACAACTCTACAGTTTCAGTTTCTGATGCTGTAATGGTGCTCGAAGATGCGTTTTCTGTATCTATATTTTCCTTGTTGTCTTCATTGTGATTTAAACATCTGGAATATTCAATTTATGTACATTAAAGAAGAGTATTAAAATTGATTTAAGATTGAAATAATCTCATACAAAATATAGCCAAAACTCACTTCCTTTTTAACAGTTTAGGAGAATTAGATTTTACATTAAAGCCCAAGTCTGTCTCCATATTACATTCTTCAGTATCAATAAAACTTCTAAAATATTTTAATATTAAAATGAAATAAGTAATCAAAATCCACATTTAGATTTTATTTGTAAATTTAATAAACAAATTCGATACAAAACCACCCTTTTGAAGGTCCATAAAAATCATCCTTATCAATATTACTGGAAGCTGTTGCTTTATTTTCCATATCGTTTGTAGAACTAAAACATTGAATTATTAATTATTATGGAATATGCTACGAGTATGCATTATATTTGGTTAAATTTAATTTTCGTACAATGAACATAACCTATAGATATGTATATATTTCATTGAAATTAATATATTTATAGCAATTATAGTGTAGATTAGAAAAAATAAATAAATGTATTTATAATACTACAAAATTAAACTTCAATTCATGTCAAGCATTAAGTATTATCACATCCCTGTACTACGCCTATGAACAAAATTCCACTGTTTACAATACTTACGAATGAAATGACAGTTCTGGATGTAAATATGAAGTTTTCCTGCATACAACACAGTTACGCACCATTATTACACTTAACTATCAACTATTCTTCACTTCTAATGTAAAATATATTAACAAATTCACTAAAATGTCACAAATAAGGAAATTATCAACTCAAAGGTAAACAATACACCGCCATATTCTTTTTCGTCAAATCGCTAGGATTGGTTGATATTACCAACGATGCCAAGTTTTACAAGAGTTAAGATTATCAGAATATATTTTCTTTTATTAAATTAAAAAAATAATTTTTTTCTTTTAATTCCTTGGTTGCGAAATGAGTATATCTAAAAATAGTTTATACTAACTAGATAATAGATTTTTACTTATAGATTTAAAGTAAATTACACTAAAAATCGAAAATTATTTCGAAGATTGACTCTGAAAAAAAAAATAATATGACATTGTCAAATTAGGGATTTGTGCCTATGACTGTGAATATCTCATGACTTCAAGTATAGATGTAAACAGACCGGTCCATCTTTATTTATACGTCCATGGTATTTGGTGACTTTTCTAGTAAGTTTCTTGGGTGTGAATCTGTCTTTTTGGTTTACTCCTCCTGGTTAAAAAACAGAGTATAGTAGAAAACGTAAGGCGTAATATTTACAAAATATAACGTAGTCAGCTCTAAAAACTGCCTCACCCTCAACTAAAGATCTCTACTTCCACCTACTTCCCGTGTTTCTGACAGACTACACACTATAAACAGCTCCCTAACTTTCGCGTAATTGGTCACAGCATAAGAGAAGAGATGTCTATTGGTCGGCATCTTCATCTGATTTTGAATTTTTAAGGTTATGTATATCTCTGTTTGTGGCGATTGTTTGGTTTGGCCACATTTGGCGCTAAGGCGGTTTTAAAACCAATTTGCCAATAAGCAAGCACACAGAAAATTTCAATTTAAATTTTTCTCATTTATTTTTAAAAATCTGTTCGTTAGAACACCATATTTAATTACCTAAGACTTTGTTTTAGCAAGCAATTATGGATTCTGTATATCCATCTACTTCAACAAGTCGTGAAATTAACCCAGGAGCCTGCCATCTTTGCAGCAAAATATTAAAAAATGTGGAATTACGAAATCGTCATATCAAAAAAATACATAACATAGATATGTCGATTAAGAAAATTAATCACATGATTTGTCCCTTATGTGAACAAGAAACTAATTTCAAAAGCCATGAGAACTTACGAAAACATCTAAAGGAGAACCACCAGGTGAGTATTGAATTAATAACTTTTGAATTTTCTAGTTTACAAGAATATGAGACATGGAAAGACATGCAGAAATTTGAGACAAGTTATAGAATAAATAGAGTTGTTCATAAAAATAAACAGAAGACAATATACTATGACTGTAACAGAAGTAACATCAAAGGTAGGTGCAATACTTTGTTACTTGTAATATTTAAAAATTATACTAAGCTATATTTAGGATATAAGCCCAACTATAAAATTAGGACAGAGAAATCTGGTGGATCAATTAAAATTAAAGGAGTGTGTCCCTCCAGGATGATTTGCAAACTGAGAGATCAAGGACAAGTTTCAGTCAGTTATTGGAAAACACATGCTGGACATCAAGAGGAATTAAGAACCATGCATCTGTCAAAAGCAGAAGAAAAAATGATTGTAGAGAAGTTAATGTCTGGGGTGCCATTTAGTAGAATTTTGGAAGATTCAAGAAAATCAGAAACACCAAAACTAGAAAGACTTGCCCTATTAACAAGTCATGATCTCTCAAATTTGTCCAGGAAGTATAATACATATATGAAACGAGATCAAAATGATATGGTAGCAACAGCCTTAAATGTTCAGGAATGGAATGCTAACAACAACAATGATGCTTTCTTGTCCAAGAAAGAAGGTAAACACCAAAAAAAATTTAATACCTAACACATTTATAATAATTAATCTTGCGTGGCTGCTCATGTAACAATCCTTTTTATACAAGCAATAAACATTTTTAAATAATATAACTACTAAGTTTGTAGTTACTGGCTTTTTAAATAGCTAATTTTATTGTGGAGGTGGTGATAGTTTTATGTGTCAAATTTACTGTATTGTTACCTGTGCCTCCCTCATGTAATAAATCTCACTTGTCAAAATCAACAACTTTCATCCCTTAACTAACTATAGAGTTTTAAGTTACTTTCTTTTTATTATCATCATTGATATAACTTTTTTTGGTTCTTTGTCTATTTAAGAATACTTCCTGATTCTGTTCTGTATTTTATAGTATGTTTGTCAAATTTTTGATTTTTAAAAGTGCCATGTAATGTTTTATTTGTTCCTTATATATACTCTTCAGTCTTCCTCTTGTTTTATGTCCAGCTGACACTTATTTTGAAGGTATTTCATCTTCCATCCTTTCCACATGTCCCTTCTACTGAAGCTGTCCTATTTGTATGAATGTTATGATATTCAGATCCTGATATACAATTTTCTTTTACTCATTTATATGTGTGGTTTAAGATTTTTTCCTTGAGTCATTGCTTGGATTAGATACCCTTCATTTAGGTTATCATATTCACTTTTAACATCTATGATAAGATTGTGTTTGTTGATATTGCATTTAATTATTTTGAGAATTTACTGTAGAAAAAAATATGTGGAAGAGAATTATAGACAGGGAAAGACCAAATGCCAACAACTATCAAGACAGGGTTATAACAAAAGCGCACAAAATAGCAGAAATGATGAAAGAAAAAGTGGAAGTTAAGATGGATGTGAATGTGTATGGGCAATTTCAGGTAAACTCCTTTAGTGATCCTAATAAATTATATAATGTATGTATAAGACAACTGTGTGAAAATGAGTGTAAGACATTGTTTTGTAGAGTGTGTAAAATTTGTATT